TCCGCATAAATGTAATTTAAAAACTACAGTAAGAGGCTTAAATAAAAAGCTGAACTTAACTCAGCCTTAATTAGAATTTTTTTCGGAATTCAGTAGTAAAGTTCAAGTTATTTTGATGAAATCAAAACTGAAATATTCATAACATCTTAAACAATCACCTACGAATAAATATTATTTATTATATTATTTATTATACGAATAAATATTATTTATTCAGTAGACAATCACAACGGTTTTATAGTTTTGGGAAGGGATTTTTTGTAACGCCATCTCGTGAAGTATTTCGGTATTACATTAATATAAAATAATTAATAATTGGGAATTTAATTGTTTTTATGATCGAACAATCACCAATAGTCATCAAACAAACGTTAATTGATCAAAATTAATTAATCTGAGCGATAAAAATAAAGATATCTAGTAAGGGAGGCCAACTTAAGGGTGATCATTTGTTTAATTAATTATTAATAAATAAAAGACGAACAAAAAAGTTTTAGATTCGAACATTAACGAACAAACGACGTACAAATAATTAAAAATAAAAAAAATCCGAAAATAAAAAGGGGGGGCCAAATTTACAGAGCCTTCTCAGTGGGTCGCGATTCCGATCCAGTAGTGGATTCTACGAAGCACTACTCTTGCTAGGGCTAGTATTACACCGGTCACTCACATGCGCACGAATACGCAAACCCGCAAGTGTAGGACGACATTTGCAAATGATTATGCAAAGTTTTCGCTGCATTCGTGGTTGTCCAAGCTGTGTCGGTTTTTTAACAGACATCAAAGCGCGCGAACCGCGAACCTTCGCGTAGTCTCCCACACATTCGTTTGCCCAGTTGCGCCGACGATTGCGAAGGTAACGGACGTATCGCCATTCTCATAGTTCGTGACGTCTACTGTGTAGCGTATCTTCGGCAAAAGAAAACCCATAAAAACAGCATGGCTGATAATGATGTCTGGGAAAGAATTCAAAACTCTTTTTCTCTTCAATGTTCTAGTGACGAATTAAAAAGGAGGAGAAATTCGTGAGACATTCGTAAACGTGTGGGAGGAAGCGCAAACGGGTTCGCAAATTGAGTATGCGAACCCATTTGCACAGCCGCTAGGTTTGCGAATGAATGTTTGACGGCCCTTCACATGCGCGCAAATATTCGTACAATGTAAATTCTCTCAGGTTGAATCCGCGCGAAGGGGAAATAAGCTACCAGCGAATAGGTACGGGGAAAAAACAAGCATGTAAAACGGGTGTTTCGTTGGCTTGCTTGGATGAACCTGTGTTATCAGTGTAGTCAGTGTACCAATGTGCTTAGATTTTTTTAAAGGGATTTTATGACCTGGTAACTATGACCTTTAAGTCATGTCTTATTATAAATATTCTTATTTTTATGAAAAATAATAATATGGAGTGAAATGAAATGAAAATGATTAATTTGAGACATTAATCAACTGGGATGAAATTAAATGAAATGAGATGATATGGGATCAAATATAATCTCAGTAAAATGGTGGTAATTTTCTGAGATTTTTTTCAGTAGACTTTTTAGTGGTTCCCGAGAAGTTACGTCCAGCGGCTTTGTTTGGCAATTTTCCCATATTTGTGCACTTTCACGAATATTAAACAGTTAATAAATCACCGTTATTACACATTTAAACCTGAAGAAACACTAAATAGACAAAATAAAACAAATCACACAACTTCACTCCTCGCGTTCCCGCCAAAAAGTTCAATGTGCTTAAAATCTGTGGAACATAGATAATACATTGTATGATTGTATGACACTAACACTGGAATCTAATCTAACCTGACTTGACTTAATAAAAATACCCAGTTTAGACTTAATAAAAAAATCTAAAAAAAGATTATTCGTTTGCATTAGTGAAACATATCTTAATCGGGCTAATAATTTTAGAAAAAATTTCTTAACATGGCCAGTAGCAGATTGGAAAGAATTGGTACAATATTTACCAGGTGAGTACTTTGTCTTAAAAATTGAAAAAAAAAAAATGTTTTTAATAAGTGTGTACAATTTCAAATTAAGAAATTATTTTGGAACATTTGGAACACAACAAACGCGGGAAAAAATTGTACGACTTTGCGGGAAAAATTACGCAATTTGAAGTTATTAAAGTTAATATATTCGTAAAGTGGAAATAATAATGTCTTCAAAGAAATGTGGAAAATCGAAATTTATATCAGAAGATATAAAAGATTTGATGAACGAGTCCCAATTCTTAAAAGATTCGCCGCTTACTAAGAAAACTATTAAGCGCGCAAAACCGGACAATTTAGTAGATGATGGTCCCNGCGGGAAAAATTACGCAATTTGAAGTTATTAAAGTTAATATATTCGTAAAGTGGAAATAATAATGTCTTCAAAGAAATGTGGAAAATCGAAATTTATATCAGAAGATATAAAAGATTTGATGAACGAGTCCCAATTCTTAAAAGATTCGCCGCTTACTAAGAAAACTATTAAGCGCGCAAAACCGGACAATTTAGTAGATGATGGTCCCCAAATCAATCAAATTGGAAATAAAAAAAGAAAAATTGAAGCTGATATTGAAGCTAGTACACAATCTCGACAAAAGATTCTAGACGTTATGGATCAACAATTAATTTCGAGGTAAGTGCGTGCCTATATTGGTCAATGAAATTTATTATAATCTAGTTAATCAATAAAAACCCTGAACTTGAACTGATATAATAATATATATATTATTTTTAGGAAGAAAAGCAATGAAAACCTTTTCAAGTGTCTTTCTGATTTAATATCACAACTGGAGAGTGATCATACTGTAATGAAGGAGAATGAACAAAAACTGGAGCAACTAACTGCGGCGCTGAATAAGTGCATACAGCAAGCAACAGTTGCTCACAAGCAAATATTGAAAGCATTGAAGGAAATTCATGATTCCTTTATGAAACAGTAAAAGCTTTTATTATCTTTATTTTATTGCATAGATCATTGGATGAGCTCCCAACCCACCTGGTGTTAAGCGGTTACCAGAGCCAATAAACATCTACAATGTAAATGCTGCCACCCACCTTGAGATAAGAGTTCTGAGGTCTCAGTATAGTTAAAACGGGTGCCCCACCCTTCAAGCCGAAATGCATTACTGCTTCACGGCAGAAATGGGGGTGGTGGTACCTACCTGTGCAGACTCACTGGAGGTCTTACCACCAGTAACCTTATACCTCTTATATTTAATGAAGAGTACAAAACTTTTCATTTTTTTAGATGCGATGAGATGCAGTCGGAACATAAAGCAGAAACAAATCAACTAGCAGATGAGCTTGCAGAAGACATAAAAAAATTACAACAGAAGCTAGTATTAGACACTAAGCGTAGTGGATGGGAAGCAATGCGTCGAACAATATTTCATGCCATGCAAAATGATTTTTGAATGTTGATGACAGTTCTTTTTTTTTTCATTTCAGTACCTTATAGAATAAAATGAAATTTTATAATACTTATTGTTTTGTTTATGAAATTGTACATGATATAAACAGAAAAAATAGATACTTAGTTGAGATGTTGATGTTGATGATTTTGCTGAGAGTTCAGACATTCTGTTATTTGGGTTTTCTCCACATACTTTTTTGTGTTGTCACTTATTTTCATAAGGTAGCTTTGTTGTTTTCTCTGTCTTATATTCACATTGGAGTCCGGTACATAGTCTTAGATAGTCTTCCTCTTTACTACTATTCCTCCATCAGGCTCTCAGAGGATAAAAATATAGTGGCTTTGAGCAGTATTTACTATCAAAGTAATCGGGAAGATAAAGCTACATCTGCTTCTAAAATTTTGTCAGTCCTCAACAGAGGGAAGCGATATTTCGTTTATGGGCAAACACTAGTGCTGTAGGATATTTACAATGAAGAATAAAATCATGTAATAAAAAGCAAAATCCTCACTGGTATTGTTGTTTGGGTATTTCTGATGAGCCTATGGCACATGAGTGATGATGGATCTTTCATCATCAGGTTGCTCCTCAGATTTCGAGAGATATAAACATAAACATATCTGTTTTATTTACATTGGTGGGATAATTTGCGATATTGGCCAAAAAGCTTAAGTGACAAGGAAAAATATTTTAAATAGAAAAATGCTTTTATGTGTAATTATTATTATCTCAATTATACAAAAATTATTACAAAACGACTTTGTTATTTGTTACAGAGTTGAAGGTCTTCTTAGCCGAGGAGCAATGAAACCTGATGACAGACCCTTGTGGTTTGATGTATACAAAGCTTTCCCTCCAATCACCGAACCTAAATATGCACGTCCTAATCTTGTAGTCAAAGAAATACGACCAATCTTATACAAGGAAGACGTTTTAAGAGCGTAAGTTGGGTAGTCATAAAACATATGTACAAACTTTAATTTTTATTAAAGCAGATGGCCAAAGGAGATCGCGTTTTTCCTAGGGTTTAANCCCTTGTGGTTTGATGTATACAAAGCTTTCCCTCCAATCACCGAACCTAAATATGCACGTCCTAATCTTGTAGTCAAAGAAATACGACCAATCTTATACAAGGAAGACGTTTTAAGAGCGTAAGTTGGGTAGTCATAAAACATATGTACAAACTTTAATTTTTATTAAAGCAGATGGCCAAAGGAGATCGCGTTTTTCCTAGGGTTTAATGGCGACCGGAGTCCATAGAAATAACAAAGTGAATGTAGTTCATTATGACATTTAAAATTGAAAAGTCTCGAGGTGAACAGTAGCGCATACTGTGTAAGCACAAGCCGATATGTTATACTCTACATGAGTGTAGATATGGAGGTCTCTATTTCGTATAAAATGTATATAATAATGTCACGTGTCACCTATTGGCACGGTACTCCCCATCCCTTGTAATTATGCATATCATCATAACCTTATTTAATTTGTTTGTCGCGGATGGTTTCGCGAACATTATAACTACATATAGAAACTGCCCCCAAGATCAACAAAACGTACAGATGTTTCTGTGGTATTTTATTCGATGTCTATTGTCTATTATGTGCTTACCTATTATGATATAAACCTCCAATCTGATTTTAAGTTTACAGATTTTTATTTTTGCAGAAAATTCCATTCAAACGGTTACGGTTTAGCACCAGTAAGCCTATTAAATCAAAGTAATGAAACTCAAACAAAACGTCTTGTACAGCAATACGATAAATTAAAAGCAGAAGGCATTCCTGAAGATGAAATCATTGAGAAAGCCGCACAAGCAGTAGCCGTCGAACGCCACAGCTATGCTGCAGAAAAATTGAATGTTACACCTAAAAATCCTGATTCCGTTACAGCCCAAGTATTGGCTGAAGCTGATATAAAAAATATTTTCAACAACAAATAAGGTGCTGCTTTATAGAATCAATACACAACCGAAACTGTGGTGCTTTATTACTGTAGTTACATTATAAGAAGCTTTAGTAAAATAAATGTTTAGTCATTTTAAATAGTTCACTTTGTGCTTTTATTTGATTACGTCGGCATAACAAGCAAGTGAATTTATAATGGGTAAACGTTTTCGTTGTTTTAATAAATTGTTATACCACCGTAAGCACCGTAAAGCATACACATGCCGTTTATTCGGAATGGCAGGGACAACGAATTGCCTTGATCACACAAACAGGATATTATTATGGCCTATTAATGCCGGGTAAATATGTAACCGGTACTGAAAGGCTTGATGTCGCCGCCATCTCACAAATTATCAACTGTATTACTAGATATACTTTAATGTATTTTGGCTCCAGTCACCGTAAGCATTTCGGGCCTCTTTGATGTTGGTTTGTAGAACGACAATAGGGTCTATGAATATGTAGGAATATACGACAAAGGGAAGATCTTCCACCGAGCGGATGATATTGCTCGGTAGACCGACGGTCCGAATGTTGTTGTTCGGAACTTGTATATATGCGCTTTATCTTGAAAATGTCGTAAGCGAGATTCAGGCATCTGTCAATTATCTTGCGTTGTATGATGGCTACCCGCCACATCACTCCCCTCCGAGACTGGAGGTCGTATCATTTTTAGTTAGCGTTGTCCGTGCTGAGATTAGCTTGCAAGGGCCAGTGCTGCTCGAAGCCTGCGGTGAGTCGAGGCTGAGCTTGAATGCTGCGTGATTGTCGCCAGTGCTGCTCGAAGTCTGCGGTGAGTCGAGACTGAGCTTGAATGTTGCGTGCGTGTCGTGCGTTGTCCATGTGATGCAGAGCTGCCACGCCGGAGATGTGTGACCCCAAGCGTTGATGATCCGGTCGTGGGCTGCGATGAACTGTAGTGTCGAGATGAGACAGTGAAGTTGCGTGCCGTAGGACCAGGAAGCGCGGTGAGTCGGCTGCGATGGTCCTGTTGAGGCTGCGATGCTGGCTTGCTGTGGGACGACTGTCAATGACGTGCTTTTATCTGCGAGAATGCGGGGATTGTGGTAGCCGAAGTTCTTTTTGCGCTGATGATGAAGGCTGCAATTGTTCCATCGCAGGTCACCAGTTGTAGAAATATACGACAAAGGGAAGATCTTCCACCGAGCGGATGATATTGCTCGGTAGACCGACGGTCCGAATGTTGTTGTTCGGAACTTGTATATATGCGCTTTATCTTGAAAATGTCGTAAGCGAGATTCAGGCATCTGTCAATTATCTTGCGTTGTATGATGGCTACCCGCCACAAATACAAAGGTAACCGTTGGCCACATTGACATTTTGACAAAGAGCGATCGGATGAAAGCTACGCTCCTCGACCCGGCATACACTACCGATACACACCTGGGCAACCCGAGGGTATGAGTTATGGCGCCATTAACTAGATTGCCTAGAGGCAGAGCTGGGCAGTTTATTGTGAGAGTTGCTGATCATATCACCGGCGACTGTTGATCTGGCGTTCCGTGATGCGGTTAAGCAATTTACGTGAGCTATCACAATTGTATCTCTGTACATGAATCGGATGCTCAGGTAGAAAAGCGACAGAAGGATTATTTAGTAGGTTTTACTGGTGGTAGGACCTCTTGTGAGTCCGCCCGGGTAGGTACCACCGCCCCGCCTATTTCTGCCGTGAAGCAATAATGCGTTTCGGTTTGAAGGGTGGAGCAGCTGTTGTAACTATACTGAGATCTTAGAACTTATATCTCAAAGTGTGTGGCGCATTTAAGCTGTAGATGTCTATGGGCTCCAGTAACCACTTAACACCAGGTGGGCTGTGAGCTGGTCCACACATCTAAGCAATAAAAAAAAAAGAAAAAAAAAAAGGTTCAACCATACCACAGCCCCAACATGTAGCGGATGATCCATCTATATATTCTAAATCGTTTTAGTGGTAAGCAGCGGCCTGACTGTTTCACCATCAGAATATCTATCTGGTGGACTGCGTGTTCATCTGCATACATGAGTAAAAAAAAACGCAACCAAAAAGGCGCGCCCTGTCTACCCATTTAAACAATTAAAAGTATTCGGAGAACTCGATATAGAGACCATCGATTTAATGAAGTCAGATTTAAGTTTATTTAGTCATAATAATTGTGATCTGTCGAGCGATCTCTTACTATTATTAGCCTTGTTCAATCTGTACTAACGTAAGGGGCTCAGTAAAGAGGCACTTGTTATTTGTTTCTTTATCAGTTTATTTTTATAGATGGGAAAATGAGTTCACGGCTCAACTAGTGATAATTAGTTCTCGACACCCATAGATATCAATCAAATGAATCCATCCTGTAATATAAAGAAGAAGTCTCAATTATAAGTTATATGACGGCATACCGACTATAGACTAGACCCACCTTTCAAACCCGAACGCATTACTGCTTCGGTAAAAATAAGTAGGGCGGTGGAACCTACCCGAACGGGACACGAGACACCTTACTACCAGTTGCTACGCGAACTGAATTTTTTGTTGGGTTGTTTTTTATTGCACAATATTATTCCTTCATCGTGGTAGTCGTTCTTGAACACGTGCTATGTATTTCCTTAGATAAATTAACATTTGCCTGTGGGATTTGAACACCGGTATGGTGATGGTATCGTTTGATACGAATAAGTTAATCGGGCGGCTATGACGAATTCTTTACGTATTGTTCACTTTTGATTTTCTTTGCTATTTTAGTAAGAATACCTAGATCTAAATCTAACAGTATGGACAAGTAAAAGTTTTTTGGATTCATGTATCAAATACAATCATTTTAAAGGTTTTATTATATTTATTTTATCACTGTAGTATTCTATCAATGAATATACAGAATAATTGAGTCACACAGGATTTCATAAAGCTTCGTTTTATCTCACAAATGTGAGTAACCAAGTTATCTTATCTAAAGAGATAACAGCTCAACGCTAAAAATGTACATGTTTTTCTATATTAGTTTATCATAGGTGTTGTTAGTGATTGTGTTTCTCTATTGAGTATTTGTGAAAGAAAGAAAATCAATAAAATGGCACAGAAGAAATCTGTTTTGTTTTACTTCGCTGTGATTTTAGGTACGTATTTAAAGTAAAATTTGTTGTAGTTAAGGACCTAAAGTGAAATGTGTTGCGGAGGGAACATTACTGCGTTGTATTTTTTAACTTTTAAGAGTTTGAAGGGAGCTCTTTCCCTAACGTTATATGTGTACTCAACACCCAATTAAATATCTTAGCTTTGACGCCAGGTGACTTAAAAGAGTAATAGCAATTGTTACTTTTGCACCACTATATTATACACGTATCAAGTACTGTGTTGTTTTTACTGCCAGTAACCTACTTAATAGATAAGGAAAAAGGTAGGTACTAAAATCAAGACTTATAAAGGTAATGTACTTAGTTTGATAATTTACGTATAGACACACATAGATATAGATATGTTTGGGAAGAAGAAATGTACCAACCTTTAGTTTGTTGGGGTTATGACTATCAGTCTGATAAAGCGCATTGATTTTAATTCAATCGTCAGTCTGAATGAATGACATTAAAGGTACGGGGTACTTTACAAATAACGGCTAATCGTGAACGTGACACACTTGAAATTAAGTAGGTACCTAGATGATTCAAGAAAAACGGAAACTTGTAGGTGACTATTTTGGTCTTCTATTTTTTTCTCCTACCTAAGCTGATGGTCTAGAGAGACCATATCAGCGTAGCCTGAACTAGTAGGTGAGCTCACGGGGCTCGAACCGGACGATGTTGCTAACACGAACCCTAGTAAGAGCTGTGCTTCGCCGAATCTACCACCAGATCGGAAACGCGACCCACTAAGAAGATCCGGCGAGAAACTCAGTGGGCTGTGTCTGTGGGTTAATTTACTCGCCGAGCCCTTCGTCGCAAGCGACGGGTTCGATGAGAACGATGACCGGGGCATTTTGGTCGCGAGTGCATTGGCGAATTTTATTATTAATAGTTTTAGCGGAAAAAAACAAAAGTTAAGAATTTAACAAAAGGGTATGTTTGCCTTACCAATATGTGCAATAATAAATATTTTTTTATTATTTTTAGTCATTTTGAGTACACTTACACAAGAGGTAGAAGCCAGAAGAAAAATTCTTAGAGGAAGACGTGTTATGACCCGCACTTACTACCGTAAGTTTATCTTCAATATCCTTGCCGGACGGGCGTAAATCAGATAAATTCGTTAAATTCCATAAGTTACCGTACCTTCTGATAGGAGGACGTTTCTGCGAACCTGCACGGTAAGTGCTACTCCTTAGTAGCACTTACCGTGCACCTTTACCTACCTAGTTATGAGGTACCTACCTATTATTGCCGAAAGGCAATTATATCAGTCCGGTTTTGACGGAACAGTCTATCTATCTCTTAGGTTTATGGCGTTTCCTTTTAGAGACGGAACAGTCGTTTTACAATAAATTTCAATTAATTTTATTTTTATAGAGATCGCGTGTAGGTTGATTAAAATAATCAATCAACTTGCGTGCTCAAAACTCATTTTATTTTATTACAGGTGGCAATGCAGTTCCCGCGTGGGCAATTAGCTTGATGGCTGGAATTGGAATGTTGATCATCGGTGGCGTCTTATATGTAGTTATGAGGAAACTCGTTCTATCTTCGGAAACGGGTTCACTGAACACTTACCAACCTGCTATGCAGCAAGAAGTATAAATAAAAATAGTTTTTTTTTTTATAATGCACCTACATTAAAACGATTCGAATATGAAACTGTTTAATAAAAACACATGATTGAGATAAATTTATTTATTCATAGCAGTTACAAACGCGCAATATACTTTTTAGTTAATACTTAACATGTCAGTTGTAGTGGATTGGTGACGAAAAGCATGATGCTCCAATTCACATGCATTTTGATTGATTTAATCTCTGTCGTTTGTTGAATGTGCTACTAGCATGTGTCAACTGAGTCGTCTATTATCAAAGGTGGCAATCTGTGCATTTGGACAAAAAAATTTTATTGATATGACAATACAGATTGATTTGAATATAATCGTCTCCTTCAAACAATACGGTTCAAAACCTGCATTAAATAAAGGTTAATAGTTAACCTGTTATTTATCTAAGATGTCGTTCTGAAGAGTTTTGTGACTGCCAATGGAATACAAAGTCAATAATTCGTTTTTCTGATTTATCAATCATTGTCCAAAAGTCAGATTGCCGGCTTTGATAATAGTCGACTCAACTATAGGTCTTGTGAAAAAAAATATACAAAAAACTTTTATTTTCAACAAATCGTGACATTTTCAATTTATAGAAATTGTAAAATTAATTATCAGTCGTAATTGAGTAGATCACAATTAAATCTGTTCATTTGGTAGTTAAGACACTCACTTTTACAATGAATCGTTAAAAGCATTTATTTTTAAATTTAATTTGTTCTTATATGTTTTTAATGTAAACTAATGAAAATTAAACTTCTTTGAAAAACAATGTTGAACATTTTCTTCCACGCTAGTGCAACAGGACGAAATTGAAGTGACGGTAAAAAAAAAATATCTTTAAAACTCTCTGCGATGATATTTGTCAGGATCGAAGTAAGATGTGACGACGACTCTGTTACTGAACTTGCGTCCTGTGAGCGTCTGCTGCGCTTTCTGGCAATCTGCGATACTGTTGAACTCGACAAATACCTGATAAAAAAACGTTTTTTAATACAAAATTGATTTAACTCATTTATTGCATGGTCGTGTGGTCATTTAGAAGTCGTCGTGGCCTAAAGGATAAGACGTCCGGTGCATTCGTGTTGAGCGATGCACCGATGTTCGAATCCTAGGCGGGTACCAATTTTTCTAATGAAATACGTACTCATCAAATGTTCACGATTAATCACCACAACACAACCTCTTGTGAGTCCGCACCGGTAGGTACCACCACCCTGCCTATTTCTGCCGTGAAGCAGTAATGCGTTTCGGTTTGAAGGGCGGAGCAGCCGTTGTAATTAAACTTGAGACCGTAGAACTTATATCTCAAGGTGGGTGACGCATTTACGTCGTAGATGTCTGTGGGCTCCAGTAACCACTTAACACCAGGTGGGCTGTGAGCTCGTCTACCCATGTAAGCAATAATAAAAAAAAAACAAATGGTCATACAAATGGACCTCTCTTGTGTTGGTTTATTACAATGTGAATGCCACCACCGTCTTGAGATATGAGGTATAACATTCAATTGTTTAGTGATGTACTTAACGACTTTCCTACTAATTCCTAAATGAAAACTTCAAGACAGAAATTTAAAGTGTGCATGTTTAAGTGCATATTTAAGTTTTGTAGAAATCATCTCATATTATTTTTTATAGCTACATTTATAGACCCGATTATTCAGTATAATTTTATAATAATAAGAAAAAAAATGTATGTTTCTAGCAGATTATTTACAGTAGTATTCCAAAGCGAACTACATACTTTAAAGATAAATATTATTAGTACATGTTTAGAATATACTAAAGTTAATAGTAAATTAATATTTATAGGTTGGGGGGATGTCTCTCGGAAGGATATGACAATTATAATGAGGTTCCTTATCTCAGTTTAAAAATATTGTGAGAATATTTTGATGGGCTTGTTATTTAAATTTTTACAACTCATTTATTTTGACCTGAAAGTATGTAGCCCGGTAACCACATACTTATGATCTTCAAATAATTAATTTTAAATATAAATATTTACCTTGCCACATCCAGGTACTTCGACTCCTTCAATTGGTCTTGGAATTTCTATACTACGCACAACACCATATTTGTTGCATTCCTCCCTGAAACACCATATTTTTAGTGAGTCTTATACCCATTTTTTATAGCTAGGAACGTAAAAGTTATACAGTAATAATTATATTAATAATTCTTTTTTTTTTGTTAATGCTTAGATGGGTGGACGAGCCCACGGCCCACCTGACGTTAGGTGGATACCGGAGCCCATAGACATCAACAACGTTAATGCCGCCACACCTCTTGAGACATCAGTTTTTACAGTACAATTTTTACGAAACACACTACTACTTCACGGCAGAAATGGACAGGATTGTGGGACCTACCTATGCAGGTAATAACACAAATTGGGATTTTTGCAGGTTTGATTTTTATTACTCGATGTTATTTCTTCGCGAACTTTTGGTTTGGTTAAGGTACATATTTCACTAGAAAAAAGTGACAGACAGGTACTCTGCGGGATTCGAACACCGGTAGTCGTATTGCTCGATATGGATGCAACCGACTTCTTACACTTTTGGCCAACTTGAAATCCAAAGACAAAAAAGTGTGAAGTTAAGTAAACTGTTGTTACCCAGTGATTGAATTATGAACAAATTAACTGGTTTCAACTGTTGACTTTTAAATATAGATTACTTATGACGACGCTTGTAGCTGAAAGTAAGTATTGTACTTTTTGACGAATCATGTTGCGGATAATAATAATATGTACTTTTAGGTTATTAAAGTAATTTTAAATTAATTAAATTTAAATGTAAAGGTTAAATTTTTTTTTTATTTTTTTTTTTTTATATAGATTGAGTATAACAAAGAGTTCGATTAAAATTGTAAACTATAATTTTCAAAAAAAAAGAAGTCTATGAAAGAAATCAGTTTTGTTGTTCCTATTTTGAATGAAGAAGAAATATTAGATGAAGTGTGCATTTCATGTATTAGTACCTTGTGTGTGTGACATGTAGAAAATGTCACTTACTTTATATCTTCAAGGATATCTTCATACTCCTCTTCATCACGCAATTCATCAGGTGTAACCATGTTAAGAAGGCACAATACTTCAGTAGGTGGACCTGCTCCAGCCAAGGTCAAACCTGCCACTTGGATTTGCACTGGAGCTGCACCGGTCAGTGCTGAAAAGTATCCCATTTCTATTTAAAATCTTTTATAATTTCTATTCTAAAACTAAAACATAGGTCATATTCTGTATTAAAATTTACCTAAAGTTGAATTCTTTGCGCCAATACTGGCACGTTGCACAATCAACTTTTTATCTCCAAGTTGCATTCCATTTAAACCTGCAATAGCCTAAGAAAATAAAATTAATTTATGATTTAAAGTTTTTTTTCTAATGAAATTGGCATTAACTATGCAAAAGCCAATAAATTAATAAATTGGGTGACATTATGATTATTTACCTGATCTGTCATAGAAATGTCGACATATTCAGCAAAAGCATAGCCTTTGCTCAACCCAGTTGAAGAGTCTTTCACCAAATTGAAGGCCCGGAGTTGACCAAATGACATGAGTAATTCCTTTACCTGTTTCATGACAAAATTAGTGAGCAAATAATAATCTTTTAATTCCCAGCATTGTATTAATTTACGTTACATATTCATAATGATCAGCATAGACATTTCTAATGCTAATGTTTTTTGTATTGTATGTTTGAATTGTTGTGTTCCCATTAAATCTGTTCATCAAAATGCAGCAAATTACATAAGTGAATTATGCTATCTGACCTGTGTCTAGCCGCATGTTAGAATCAGATGTGAATGGAAGAGACTTGCCTTGAAGTGCCGATGTCTCGTTCAAGTACAAGACGTATAGATGAGAATGAGAGACAACAGTGACACGCGGGCCGCGAATGTGCCAAATCTAAGCTAGGGAGGGCAGAAAGCAAACTATATCAGTGAGTTGTTTGAGAACGTCCGAGCGTGGTACGCACACGCTCGTCCACGCTACGGGTACCTGAAAATACCTGAAACGGACCAAAACATAACGCGGCTCACTGCTGGCGTCACCGGGGCCTAAGTCCTGTCAACTGTTGAATCTCGGCCTGAAATTGTTGCGGCATCTAGTATGCTATAACTACCTACTGGGAACGAACAAACTCATGGTTCTTTTAATGTCCTAACATTACCTAAAGTAGGATTTTGAAATAACTATTATAGTCCAAAATACTTGAATTTGTCGATCAAAGAGAATTCTATGTTTATCATAACAAACATAATTATTATTTCCATTTTGTCTGGTCAAAACCTGTAACACACAACTCTACAAATCACAATGAGAGAAGAATGTTGTATAATATAACCATTTTTTTATTATCAAAAGGTTTCTTTTAGTGGGAAACATAAATCAACCATAATTTATGTGAATTGAGTTTTCATTTGGTTTAAAAATAAAAACTTTTTGGTAAGTAGTACTTATAAATAATAGTTTAATTTGATCACATCAAAAATACAGAAAATAAGTACCTCTACTTTAATCCAAAAACTATAAGTAGCTTTACAAAACTATTCTCCAAACTTGATTTTGATCATGATGTGATTAAATTATGGTTTCTTGAATGCTTAATTTCAACTATAAATTTTAATAGATAAAACAAGGAACTTACTTGGTCCTCATTTAGATAATTAGGCAATCCCCCTATAAAGATCTTGTGTGGGGAATCAGGTACAACAGTGCTAATAACACCAGCTGTAACAAAATAATATTTGAATGAAGACACTAGTAATGAGCATTTTAGTTGTAATTAATGCTGTTTCAAGAGTTTAAAAAGAGCTGTAGAATTATAACAACAAAATTCAGTTTATTTTAAATATTGTATTTTCTTAATAAAAAATAGCACTTTCAATCGAGTTCAAGACTCATTACTTGATAGATAAATCTATAGTATCTTCTAATGTTGTTTAAATGTATTTTTATAATTTTTTTTTATTTTTTATTGCTTAGATGGGTGGACGAGCTCACAGCCCACCTGATGTTAAGTGGTTACTGGAGCCCATAGACATCCAGAGGTAGACGCGCCACCCACCTTGAGATACAAGTTCTAAAGTCTCAGTATAGTTACAACGGCTACCCCACCCTTCAAACCGAAACGCATTACTGCTTCACGGCAGAAATAAGCAGGGCGGTGGTACCTATCCGCACGGACTCACAAGTGGTCCTACCACCAGTATAAGATAAGATAAGTTGATATAAGAAAAGTTGTTTGTAATAACAATATCACAATATCATAATTACTTACCAGGCACATTTATTGCTGGGTTTTCAGTGCCTGGCATAGGCTGGTAGTCATGTGGACGTCGAATCTTTAAGCTTTGCCCTTTAAAATTAATACCGTCAAAAGCCATTGCCTGTGTCGTTTCATCAATTGATCTGAATTCAAGGAATGCAAAATTTTTATCTAAATTAATCTGGCAAGCCAAAACAGGGTTGCCGGCGGCCTGGGCCAGGCCCGATAGATGCATTTGTTGATTGAAAAACTCCATTGTTTCTTCTTCGGTGACGCCAAAGGGTATGTTGCCGACATATAACCTTCGCGCTTGACGTGTTATAGTCGAACCCACCACGGGCACGGCAGCTTGTGGTGTGTCGGCGACAATATTGGCAGGAATCTGACCCGCCGCTTGCATCGCCTTGTATTGTAATGGCGTGATATGCTCGAATCCCGGCGGCGGTACATCCCAGTAAAGCGAAGGCTTACGTCTACGTGAACGTTTATTGGGCGATCTTGATCTGCTTTTTCTTTTTTCTCTTCGTTCTCTAGATCGAGATCTAGAACGTTTTCTTTCTCGGGATCGAGACCTTCGTCGGCGGTCTGTAATATTTGTGAGCATTTTATTTTATAACCTCACTTCAAAACTTTACAAGATAGATATGTGAACTACTTACCTTTATCTTCCCCCATCTTATTTACGGAAATATGTAATACAGTAACTATTTCTTGAGATAGTAATAAAGGCGCTTCAGCGTTATTAGTATAATTAGCGTTGGCATCAACATAAAATCTAAGTCAGTTTCCGTGAAATGGCGTCTGTTGTCTGTTATTTTTTTATACGGACGTTGGTTACTCGACTTTTGGCTAATGATGCTATAGTGAATTTCCTGATAGGTACGTAATCATCACTAAAATCCTATGCTTGCCCTAGGACAAATTTCGGACGCGAACGCAGAACTGGTGTATCCTCAAGTATAAACGTGTAATAATGATAGCTAATTAATCACTAAGTATTTCTAAAAGTATACCGTAACATGAGAAAAGAGGTATAGTGGCAAGGCTGGCAGATGTGAAACATTGATATTATTTTGTACAAGTATAGATGCATAAAAGGATAGCTTACGACAGGAAATTCTTGTGGCGCAATGAAAATCAAATATTAATATTATGAAACAGTCGCTTGTCCATGGCGACGTGTTGCTACACCTTAAACACTACTACATATAGACTGTAGGTTTAAATAATATTTTATTATACTATCACATCTACGTCACGCTAGCAATCGGTTTTATGTGCGGGTATTATATAAAGATGTTTCACATTAAAGCATGCGGAGACTTCATAAACAGAAAACTGCCCAAACCAAGTCAATGCTACCATATCTTATGGCCTCTTGAACAGTTTATAAAATATCCTGCTTTGGGAACATAACTAAGTGTATTTCTACTGTAAGCTATGCTGACAATCTGGGAGTTTACATTGTGGTAAAATTTCTGAATAGGCTGTTGGATCAAACTCAACAAGCCCTTGTGGTATTTGAGCGATGGTTTGACCAGAATCTAAGGCTCAATGACAATAAAACTGTCATAGGTATGCAAATGAAACAATTCATTAACCGATTCCCACAATAAATTATTTTAACTTTGGGTTGCAATAAGCCAAAACTCTAACAAGTACACCAATGGAATTTTGTAAATTGCAGAAGCACAAACATTAACTGAATGTTTTGTGGTAGAAATAGGCAGGATGGTATATTCATATGGTATACATATATAGAATATACTATATGAAACGGAAAAAAATACAGGAATGTTTTTTTGCGTGTTTTTAAAAATTATATAGTTATCTATTATTAATCTATTGTTATCTATTTGTAAATCTGGTAATTCTATTGTTAATCTCAACAATCTTGGAAAACTAACTCATCTGGGCTAAAACATTCTGTAATCAGTGGCCGTAAACAAATTCTAAAAACAAAAACGAAGCTGCCTGCCACACATTACTCAACCAATCATATTTGACTTTGAAATTATATTGTTTGAATGTGTTAGTGATGTGATGTCGTACGTTAGGGTGAAACTGGTGAAAGTTTTGTTTGAATTTTTTTCTTCAGTGTCGCGTATGTATACATCTAAAAATACAAAAACCTGTCGGTACGTGCTCTATTTAGCCCTGGATCATCCACTATAATGGTAAATGTTATAATTTGAAATTTTTAATTCAACATTTATAAAGAAAAGCCTACCGTGGAGGTATTGATATTGAGAAATAATTTCAGTTGCGGCACGAGGGTAACGCGATCGTGAGAGAGAGAAAAGGCCCTACGGAACTTCCAAATGAAGATAGGAAAAAAATTTATAAAAATGAGGATACTCGAACAGATGCTAAAACCATCACATTTGTGTTTTTATCGTTATTATTGGACCTCTTTGCGTTTACGATGATTCTACCACTGTTGCCGTCTTTAATGGATTATTACAGCAGAGAGGAAAATCAGGAGAATAGTCTATACTCTACATTGTTACAGGCAGTTCGGAGTTTTCAAAAATTAACCGGGGCACCAGATCGATTCGTGTCTGTCTTGTTTGGGGGTGCGCTGGGCTCCATGTATAGTTTTCTTCAGTTCCTAACGAGTCCTATTGTAGGTAGCCTCTCGGACGCATATGGAAGAAAACCAATGCTACTAATATGCCTGGTAAGTTAGTTCTCGACTCAAGAGATATCTGTTTTTAAAATAATATTCAGTCTACATATGCACCATCAATGATTAACCACAAATTATTCTGAAGACATTTATTCTTTATCAGTGTTGGATCATGATAAGCCACTCTTCAGAAATATTTTTAAGAGGAAAAGTTAGATTTTTATCACATAGGTATGTCTGATAGATAAAAATGTAGGTTGTTTGAGTAATGCTATTTTTTATAAGTAATCAAGTAAGTTTACCAAAAATTTCTAAAACTTTGGAGAAGAAGATGGTTTAATATATGCTTGCTTATTGTGAATATTTGTGAATTATATAAAACTTCAGAGGGTTTCAAAATTTTTAGATTTCCATAGCTGAATGCCAAACTTTGTATAATTTTGTTATTTTAGTGTGTTTGTTTCAAAAGTATGACATCATTTTACCAGGTTATATGTACTCTCAGCTTCGTTCAACTGTTGGCAAAAAATAAGACCTTTAAAAATAAATAATTAATAAATTAAAAGTAATTATATTCTTGAAGGTAAAATAAACCTATAAAACAAGCTGACGATTTTTTTATGTTTTTTACTGTTGAGAAGGGTGGATGAGCCCACGGCCCTCTGGTGTTAAGTGACCACCAAAGCTCATAGACATCAACCATGTTAATACCGCTGCCCATCTTGAAACATGAGTTCTCAGTCTCAATTTTTATAGTACAACAGCTGCCGCACCCTTTGAACCAAAACTGCTTTACAGCAAAAATAGGCAGGGTAGTGGCACATACTTATGTAAGCTCTCAAGAACCCCTACCACCTGTAATTGTTGTAAATGTTATTCCTTCACATGAAACTCATGTATGCGCTTGATAAGTAGATACTTTATTAGAAAAATTGCTAGTAACTACCCTGCAGGATTTCACCACCAGTACAGTTGCGTCTCAAGGTGCTTGGCGACATTTACATTGTTAATGTCTATGGGCTTCGATATCCAGTTGGCAGCAAATAGACCCTGACCTGCCTATCTAAGCAATATTCATAAATTCTTTAAGACTATAAGAATCTGATCCTTCCTTTTGTAAATTGTTGTTAAGAACTATAAAAAAAAGCACTAGTGATATGGGCTATGCCATTAAAAGGAAATGATAAAAATAATGTATATCAAATTATAAGATTGATTTTTTCAAGAAAATTCCAACTGCTTATGCGAATAAGATAAATAAAGTGTCTGAAGACAGTAATAACATTACAGAATGTAATAGTATTAATAAATAAATTTAAGAATATAGAACAAAATTACAAAAAATATAAACCTTAGTTAAAGTTAAACCTAAGTTAAACCTAGTTAAAGCTTAGTGTAACTAACTTAATAGTATATAGTGGCTTTAGTAAGTAACTGCTGTGCCCTTATCACTGCTTATATCCACGAGCCACATGACTACTAACAAAAAGAATGAAAGTATGTTAATCTGTCTACAAGACATTAAAAAATAATACTATTAAAACAGCTGGGTCAACAATATCGGGTAAATAATATCTACGAAAAGAAAAGAACCCGAAATGCAAAAATAATTAATAATTAAAAATGTAAAACCAATTGAATCAATTGGTATTTAATATTCAAGGTTCACAGTGAAAACTTGAGAGCAAAGTAGTATTTTATGTTCAAGGCTATAAATGAAAACTTTAATCAGCTAACACTCAAATAAGGAATTCTTTTATTTATTAGATATTATTAGAATTTTTTTTTTTATTATTATTTGAGAACTTAATTAATATGTCTTAAATATCCATTTTTTTGTCATGGTGTGGTGTATTGGGAGCTTGATAGCATAAGTACCATTATCTTCTTTATTTCTGCCATGAGGCTAGTTTGTAGGGCATACCCATTGTACAATAGAAGGTTTCATATTCCAAGGTGGGTTGCGGAATTGCCCTTTTCATGGATTGGGTTAATTAATCACTTAAGACCAGGTTTATCACTCACCATTTAGTTTCTAAAGATGTTAATACATACTTATTGAAGAAAACTGAAGTACATATATAAAAATTATAGTTTAGGGCGTGTTGTGAGCTCGCACGGGTAGGTACCACCACTCTGCCTATTTCTACTGTAAAGCAGTAATGCTTTTCGGTTTGAAGGGCGGGGCAGTCATTGTATTGTAAAAAATTAGACTTAGAACTCATGTCTCAAGATGGGCGGCGTTATTAACATCTTTGTTTTCTATGGGCTGCGTTGATCACTTAACTCATCAGGTAGGCCGTAAGCTCGTCCACCCATCTGAGCAATAGAAAAAAATGTGTTTTCTAGTTGGGCTACAATTTCATAAGAAATAATTTGTATCAGACAGGTATAGCGGCATCACATGCACTGTGGAGTTTGGCTGAAACATTCCTTATATTTGTAGTAGCTCGATTCATTGGTGGATTAAGCAAAGCCAATGTAAGTCTGTGCATGGCCATAGTAACCGATGCTTCAACTGAAAAAACTAGAGCAAGAGGAATGGTAAGAATAATTTTATTACAAATGAAACACTCCTGTGTGCATAGTGCGAGTTTTTTAACGTTCTCGATAGCGTAAAAGTTAACTCAAATTTGTATGCAGTTGGAACATCGCCCCTAGCGGCAAACGTAGACAAATGTTCCAACTCCGAGGACGTTAAAAGACTCGCACTAAGCATACAGTGTTCTGGTTGGGTGAGTGAGATAGCCATCATGAAATACAATTGAGATTTCAACCTCAAGTGCTTAGGGCAATGATTCTCAACCTTTTTTTGTTGCGGCACATATTTAACGATTTCAAAATTTGACGGCACACAAAAAAAAAGATAAAAATTATTTACTTACGACAACACACTGCATAAATAGTTTATCAAAAAATTTTAATATAAGAAATAAACTAAAACATACTATAATTTTTTTTTGTGGATTTAAATATATATTCATGTTTAAAATATTTTTCTTTTAAAATGATATAATTTAATAATATTAACATTATTATATATTCGCAAAATTTGGCGGCACACAAAAGTGCCGCGGAACAGTGGTTGACAATCACTGGCTTAGGGAGTGTTCTGACCATTTTTTTTATGTAGGTAATCCCACGGAATAGATAAATAAGGTTGGAATG